ACTGATTCAAAAATTAAACTAAGGTTTCTACCAGTAAAAATGTTACACAAGTAAAAAGAAAATAAATGAATATCAAATAATTACTATAAATTAAATTAAAATGTTACACAAATAAAAAGGAAAAAAATTCAAAGGTTAGTATATTTTTTTGATTGGTGATGGTTAATTAAAGTAAATAAGCCAAAATAATCACTACCCCATCAAATAATTAAAACATTTGGTTGTTGGTTGCTTTAAAGTAACAAAACAAAAACTTTTGGAGGGTGGTTTTACTGCGCATTTGGTGGATGGTTTTTTAGATAAACTCAATTAATAAAAGTATGTGAATTTTGCTTTCTTCGATGAACATTTGGTGTTTGATTCTTGTAGGACATGATTAAAAGGTATTTAATATTAAAATATTAAAGTCCTATTATATTTAAATTGTTATGTTAGAAGCTGTTCATTTTTTATTATGTCACAAGTAGTACATAGTTATTTATACGACAAATGATAAAAGAGGTATGTGTTATGTTATTTATTTAAAGTATTTTTATTAAAATACATTATTATAATATTATTATTTTCTCTTTATTTTTTATTTTTTATTTTCTGAATATTCTTCTCTCAATATTATCTTTTTTTTCTCTCTCTTTGAACACAAATGATTTAATTGATAGATTTATCTACTGCATCATATATACCGTGAGTGATTATTGGTTTCTAAAATTTAATCATCATCCAAGCTGAACATGTTATGTCTCATACATATACTGAATTTTTTTTTGAAAAATCATCATATACAAGTTGTAAAGTTGCCTGTTGTTGTAAAATTGTAAAGTTGCCTATTGTTGTAAAATTGTAAAGTTGCCTATTGTTGTAAAGTTGAAAAGTTGGGGACATATGGTGAAGATGTATGTCCTATATGTTGAGATACATAGTACTAATTAAGGTGATAAGTTGAAAGTTATTTTAAAGTTGAATCCCTTAGTACTGTGTGGGCGATGTGGAAGTAGTCGATCCATGTCATGGTTGAATGATCAAATTGAGTAAGGTATCTAGTTAGAGATGTAGTCTTTGACTAGGTATTGGAGGGTGCGTGGTACTTGGAGGGAAGTGAGTGAACTAACCCCATATGTGAATTGGTTATGCAGACCAAGGTCGTGGTAGGTTCATACCCAAACTCTTTTGTCCTGATAGTAATACTGGAGCTCCGAGTCTAAGTGGCCACTACTAGGAAAATACTATTTAACGTCGTCATATTTACATTGGTTCACCAAGAAACGATGTAAAAAATATATGCGGTGAAAATCTTGTAAATAAATAAAAAATATGAGCATATTTATATCGGTACTTCCTAAAACTGATTCTACATCGTGTTTCCTATTGACCGATGTAAAAGGGACGAGCAAATTCTTTTCTCCTCTCCGCGCACACAATACCTATAGTGTTTTTGTTAAGAAGAATTAGCAAAGCAAAAATTTTGAGTGTGGGATGCACAACACAACCTCGACATTGACATATTGACAATGGGAATGCCTTCTGTATGATTCTCAACACATAATCGATCGCTCTCTGTTGATTTGATCGATTTCGAAGGAGAAGCCAAGCTTCAACCCTAGCGTTTCCACAATTGATTCTGTAAGCTTTACGAAACTCTATTTTTCTCTCCTTGTGAAAGACAAGTTCTAGAATCTGTGTTCCGCGCTAATTTATTGAAACTCTTTCTTGGCACTTTCACTACCGTTTTACAAGCTCGACTCGCTCACGCGGAAGCACGTGACTATCGCGCTCTGCTACACCACCACGTCGGACCGGCTCTGGCGGCGGTTCCCGCACTTGGAGTCGCTGAAGCTTAAGGGGAAGCCCTAGGCGGCGATGTTCAACCTCATACCGGAGGACTAGGGAGGATTCGTGACGCCGTGGATGAGAGAGATCTCTCTGTACTTCAATTGCTTGAAGTCGCTCCACTTTCGCCGCATGATTGTGATGGATTCCGATCTTTAGCACCTGGCTAGTTCGCACGGTCACGTGCTTCAGGCTTTTAAGCTCGATAAGTGCTCTGGATTCTCCACCGGACTTTACTACATTCGTCGCTTTTGCAAGTTATTTGATTTTTACTTTATCGTGTTTTTATGATTATGGCTGGAATTTTGAATTTCGTTTTGTCTTATTGTGTTATTGTTACCGGTTGAATGATTCTGGAAATCGCCATGGCTCCCACCTGTCCTGTGTTTGATGCTTGAGAGTTTGTGTTTCATTGAATGTTTGCAGATTTTGTATCGTGCTCTTCTTGTTAAGGGAAAAAGAAAAAGCTTATTTGAACTTAGACTTGTAACATTTAACTCTATGGATCCTGTTAACATTAAACTCTATTAACTATATATATTCCTATTTCATTAAGTTTGACGGGTTTATACAAATAATAAAAATGAATAAATAATATATAGATGGACAGTATAAAACTATAAATATTATTTTCATCCAATTATAGTTGCTATGTACAATAAGCTTGTTAATTTTTACTATTATAACTATTTTTAGTTGTCAGATTTTTAATTAGTTGATTAACTCTAATAAAACTCTTTTTTGCATATTTTTACAAACCTTGTATTTAAACTTGTGAACAAAGAATAAGAATAATTGCTTAGTTAAGCAATTTTTCAAAATGGGCGATGTTTTAATTCGTATGGCCAGGGTTTTAATGGGTAATACTATGTGTTTTCAACCTTTTTAATTATTTTTTGATATTCCAGGTTTCTGTGAGATGATATTTCAGTTTTTATTTTATGATTATCCATGCTTCATTTGTAATGCCTGGCCAGGTGAATTATTTGGTTTTGCAAATCCTCTGTTCTTATATAGTTATTCATAAGTTGGTCTAAAACATGATAGAATTCCTATAAAAAGAAAAAGAAAAAATGAAATTCCTTTATGGTGTCTTTGGATGCGAAATTTTACAAATTCAAAGAATTTGAAATTCTTGGTATTTGAATTACTTTGATTTATATCATTCTTAAAATTTTTTGTTTGGATAAGTCAATTTAAATTTTTTTTTTAATTTTAAATTATTAGTTTGGATATGATAATTTGATTTTACCATGATAAAATTAATTTTAAAAATATATTTGTATATTGAGATTTTTAAATAAAATTTTATAAAAATAAATATTATTCAATTTTTAAATATTTAATAATTTTAAAAATTAATATTAGATAATATTTGATAATTTTAAAAATATTTTTAAATATTCAATAATTAAAAACATGAAGAGAGAAAATATAAGATAAAATATATAAGTGAAATAAGAAAAAAAAATATGAGGAATTTTAAATTCTTATTTTTTGGGGGGAATTTGAAATTCTACTATTTCAAGAAATTTCACAAATGCTTGAATTTCAAATTCTTTATAAATTCTCCATCCAAATAAAGTATTTCACCTCAAAAAATTTGAAATTCTTCAAATAAATGAATTACTTCACTTAAATTCTTCATCCAAACACACTATTAACTTTTGAATAAAACTATACTTGTCAGTTCCATACAACCTTTGAGGACCATAATCATGGAGTCCTGTGAACCCTTAACTACAATAGTGCATAATAAATTTAAACTTGTGTTCTTCTTTCCGACCATCCCTTTGTTATGGACATAACCAAACTCAATCCTCTACTTTAAGCTTAGTTTAGAAAAGTAAAATATAAGCTATACGTTATCCTTTTATCCTTCCTTATTCTCTCGAAATTTTGGAAACTTTCTTGTATATTTTGAGTTGGTCATCTCTATTTATTTATTTGGATTTTCATGTCATACGATTCAAATCTATAGTAGTAAGTGTCTAGTCGATGAGAGAATTTACTTACTGGTTCATTTAAATTTTAATGTATTCAACCTCTAATCCCTAGTGAATGAAAGGTGTTCTTCACATCTGATTATATATTGTAATTTGTAATTGTGTTTGCAACTGGTTTATTAATGCCAAACTCTTTCCTCATTTTCTAAGTTAGTCTAATTCTGAGTCTATGCACTATTGCACTATATTTAATAATAAATTACATTATTTAGGATATGTTGCTCTTTTATTGTGATTAGTTTTTTTTTCTTTCAGTTAAATATGTTTTTGGCCCTTCGAATACTGAGTCTATTTGATTTTAGTCCTTAAAAAAAATTACTTTGATTTTAGTCCTCCAAATTTATATAATTCCTATTTTTAATCCTTTTTTAAATATTGTTAACTTTTATTGTTAAAATATTTTACATCAGCATCTAAATCACTTTAAGTTTTATAGATATGAATTTTTTTTTAATTTAAACTATTAATTATTTTAGGGTTTAGTTAAGTTTTAAGATAAATACTAATTTTACACTCAAAACTTTTCACTATTCACTTTTAACACAAATATAGAGGGTTTGGTAATTCCTTTTTTACTTGAACAAAAAGTCTTCCATTAAACTCAGATAAAATCTTCTCACAAATTCAAAGCGAAGGTTTTTTCTCCTCCACTGTCATTATTATGGGAATAGCCTTTGGATTTTTTATTGGTATTTCAATTTCATCTGTTCATTTTACAAAGGTAATATTTACAATCCTAATTCTTCTCAGTGTTCTGTCTCACATTTATCAACCATTTAATTTTTCCCCTTCTCTTGTTATATTTTGCATATAAGCTTACTTTCATCTGTAGGGAGTTCTGTTGATGTACCTGTAGCTGAAATAGACAAGATCTATTTCCCCTTCTCTTGTTAGATTTATTTCCCTTGTTAAAGGGATGGAGGTCAAGATGGAAGGTCCATGCATGATATCTAGTCTTATCTCCGAGCAACTGGGAATCAATAATTGTTCTGTTTTGATGGGTGCCAGCATAGCAAATGAGGTAGTTAGAAGAAATTAGAGTTTTTTTTTCTGCTCATTTTATATTTGATTGTTGTAATTATTATTAGTGTTTGTGCAGATAGATGTGGAGAAGTTTAGGGAAGTCGTTGAGAGATATGGGTTCAGTTGTTTTATACTCCTTTTCAATGTGACAGCTGTGAGTGCTCACATTCTTTAGTAAATGACCACAAAAATGGTGAAAAACTTATCACATGAAATTCTGAATGAAATTGAAGAATTTGTTCCCAATATAATCCTTAATACTAAGGAAATATCATCATGACTTATGACAAGATGTTATGGTAACGGGTAATTTTAAATTTGCAACGTAACTAAACCTTTTAAATTTGCAAAAAACTGAGATAATATTTGACCTTCTAAATTTGTTATTCTATGTAATAAATAGGTTCAAGATGTTGAAGGGGTTGAACTATGTGGAACTTTGAAAAATGTTGTGGCCATAGCAGCAGGTTTGCTACAGTATATAAAATTTGTTTCCTCCTTTTTGTATTTTTGTGAATGATCAAGGAATGACCCACAAATGGGACAGGTTTTGTTGATGGCCTGGAGATGGGAAACAATACAAAAGTAAGTTTAAAAGATTTTATTATCATAAGGTTTTCGAAAAGACACCAAAAAGAATATATATATATATATATATATATATATAT